ATAAATGGGTATTTTGTCATATCTTGCCCTGTCCGACGTCTCCCTTCATCCACTTTTCGGTTGTCCGTCCCCCAGGGAGGAGGCCACACACAGTTCCATGCAATTGGTTCCCTCTTTCCTACCCACTCTCCCTCCACCCTCCCTGTTTTGGGCTTTCAATTTCTGAAAATGCTTCAAAGCTCTGCATAAAGTTTTCAGTGGCTTCCTCCTCGGAACTGGGAAGCTGAGTCCTTCTTCATTGTCTGTTCTTGGTCTGAAAGTTCCACTAAAGCTTATTCACTTTGGGCGACCCTGCTGGTATTTAAAATAATAGTGACAAAGCTTCCAGCATCAAAGCAACACACAAGCCATCACAGTACGACAACTTGATAGACAAGTGGTGGTAGAGCTCATATAATTATTATTTTATGTCAAATATGGCAACAGCAGAGTGAAGAACATTTATAATATCTTATATAATGTGAAATTCAAAACTGCATGAAATGTGGCTGTATCATATCCAAAAAACCCACAGTGTTCGTCAAATACATTCTAATTGTTCCAGGTTTATTACCTGTTTTTCTCCTTCCTTGTCAAAGCCAACTGTTTTGTGTGTCTTTCTCTAAACCCATAGTAACTAGTAAAATGTCATTTCTTACCAGATAATGTAGAACCTGTGGTGAGTGTTACAGTTCTATTTCTTCTCCTTTTTTCCAATGATCCAGCTGAATCTGAGGAGTCACCAGAAGTAATGGCTGAAGAGATGCTAGCACTTCTCTTGTGGCTTGCAGAATAAGCAGCCCTACTTGAGGTAGACGGGGTAGGAGAATCTACCAACTCAGCAATTACTCTTGTCTGAGATTTTGCCCGCTTCTGCCTGACATTTCTGGTCAAACAAACAAAAAACACTTTTTAATAAATTTCAGAGAGAACAATTAAGTCAAAGTGCACAATTTTTTTTCAAAGTGCACAATTTTTAATGTGAAAATAATTTTATAATCAAGACATTAAACATTTCACTAACATCCTACTATGAAATTAATTATATTATTAATATTCTGTTGTAAAATTTTTATTTTATTTAAATTTGAAATAGTGAATGATTCTAGTAATGAAACTAAAACCACGGAAGACTCTAGGTTCAAATGTGAATGTCAAAGGAGCCAGCATTTATATAATACAGACATTCATTCATATTACAAATTCAGTTTCCAGGAGGCACAGTTTTACAAAAATACAATTATCAGAAGAATAAAAGACCCACCAGAAATTTTTCTGGAAATTAAAATAGAGACCTTAGGTTATCACAATACAGCATTATCCAACTGACCAGCTTTTGACACATCAGATCAAACACTAGTGAAAAATACTGTGTTTGGTGAAATACTTTGTTTTTACCACAGTTGCACACATTAATACTTTTTTGTGTGCTTTTGGCCAACCAAGCGCTTGGTAAATGTGCTAAGGCAATATCTTTACAGAAAACTATACAAAAAATCAGCAATGGAATGCTACAAAGTACCTCACAGGCAGAGGGTATGGCTGGAAAAAAATGTATAATGTAATCATTGTGTGCAGATACAACAGAGTAGTAAGGGCAAAGAAAACCATCAGTACAGTGGATTTGACAGAATAGCCAAACAATGGAATTGGACATGCAGGCAATCATTAAGAATGACACAGCACTAGGAAATGTTTCCTTCTGTTATACAATATCAACACCATGATCAAAGTTGATTCAATGGCAGCTATTTATCTAATTTTTATCTAGGCATTATAAAACTATGAGGAGAAACCACCTAAATCTAATGAAAGGTAAAAAGGTGAACAGAAAATAAAATAAATTAACTTTAAGTGATCAGAATAAACTTTTCAAAAACTAAACTGTTTATACTTAAATGCCAGTTCATCATGGTTGGCCTTCTGAGCCAAGGGTAATGAGGAAAGCATAGGTTAAGACAAGATAATCTTTAGGTATAAGTTACAAATCTTCTTATTAAAACAATGTCTTTCCCCCTACCACATTTAAAGAAAAAAGAAAAAAAAAAAATATATATATATATATAAAGTCAAGTTCAGAGATAACATAACTCTGTCAAACAATTACCCTCTATATCAAAGATTCCTAAACTTACTTGGTCATCCTGCTTTTTTGAAAATAACAATAACTCAGCATCCTCCCAGCAATCAAAAAATGTTGTACTACATTCCACAATTCAGGATAATATAGAAGTATCTACTTTTTCAGCCCCCTGGATAATCCTTGTGCCCCCTCAGAGGTAGCATTATATATTTGGGAAATACTTATACTATATAGAAACAAATCTCATGTGTGTTATATTGGAATTTTTCATTGCCATTAATATCAAGGAACATACATAAAGATAAAAGGTATATGCTTTTATCATAAACTTGCTTTTCAACAGTAATTAAAATAACACTGTCAAAACAATCCTTTTTTATCCTGTCCCTCTGAATTGTTACTCCCCACTCTGAATCAGCAGTGGTGGTTTAAAAAAAAAAAATTTAAACCTATACGAGAGCCAAACCTAAACAGACAATTATTCTACAAAATAACTGCACTGCACTCATCAAAAATGTCAGACAAGATGAAAAAAAATTCTAAAATCTAATCTGTATTTTAAAAAAACTAAATACATAGTCAATAAATGCAACATATATTGTATATACCCGTGTATAAGCCGAGTTTTTCAGCACATTTTTAATGCCTTTTTTGTGGTAAAATTAGGTGCCTCGGATGACAGTCGGGGCTTATACTCGAGTATATACGGTAATCCAAGATGGGTTCTGGATTAAAGGGAAATGAAAAAAAAAAAAGTAATTTAGGGCTATTCTTGTATTAATTGTGTAAATTTAAATGTGTGACTGGAACATATATGATCTTAATGATCTTGTTCTATACATAGAGTATATGAGGTATTCATGGCACTTTTCTATACTGCTGAGATTATTTCAATATGGAAAGCTTAAAAAAACTTCTCTGAGGAAAAAACTTGAATAATGTGTAATTTATGTACTTGAATTACAAGTTGAAAACTAAGCAGAATTGATTCATTTACTGAGTACTTTAAGTTTGTCTGGCAACCCAGCTAACTACCCAATTACCCAGGTAATAAGGCACTGCTGCTCTTTTAGGCATGGGGGAAAGGAAAGAGACATCACCAAACCCTCTCACCCAAAAAAGCAAAATTAAAAACCACCATTTCAGAACACTAAATATTAACTAAGAGGCATACAATAACCAAGTGGAAAGCAATGAGTCAAGAACCTTGAGACGCAAGTAGAAAGTGAAACCCCAGGCAAATGTGTGCACTGCCTAAACTTGAGTACGTGTCCAATCTCATCACCAAACCTCTTAGAAAAAGACCGAAACTTTACTGTCACGGTGTTAACAGAGCTATTGCTCATTAACACACACACTGGCCCAAGAAAGACAACTTGAAAAACAGGCTGAACAACAAAAACAAAATAAATTTCAATGAGAAAACAAAAACAAACAATTGATGAACACTGTAGGAAGTTAGTTAGGGTCTACAGAATTATTCCAGAAATGGCAATAGCAAAATAGCAATGACTATGAACACCACCACCCCCAAGTTGGGGGGGGGGGAGGGAGAGAATCAGGATCCTCAGTCACTATAAACACGTTTTTAACACATTATTCCATTTACTATTTCCAGAATTCAACAAAATAACTAGAGATGTAAACAAATAAGAACATGCAGCCTGCACACACTGTTAACAGATGCAGGAGAGCTTGATGTTAGACACAGAAAAGAAAAAACATTTAAATCATTTATTTAAAAAAATGTACAAAGAACTAAAAGAAACTATGCTTAAAAAACACTTAACAGTTTGATGAAAATCCATCATTAATCATTCAGATTGTCACACCGTGGTTGCTTACTTGTTGCTCTGATACTTAAAGATAGTGCCACTGGTATTTCAAAGACTTAAAGGATCACCCATAGTGGACAAGTATCTGGGAAGCTTTCAGGCTAAGATATAGTACAGTGGTTCTCAACCTTCCTAATGCCACGACCCTTCAATACAGTTCCTTGTGTTGTGGTGACCCTCAACCATAAAATTACTTTCGTTGCTACTTCATAACTGTAATTTTGCTACTGTTATGAATTGTAATGTAAATATCTGATGTGCAGGATGTACTTTCATTGTTACAAATTGAACATAATTAAAGCAGTGATTAATTACAAAACAACATGTAATTATATATTGTGAAATACTTATTTCTAATTACAAATAAATGAAATTTTGTCTTCAAGCATAGGGTAGCATGGGTGATAGTCTTCATGCCTGGTATTCCTATGTGGGCATATCTGCATGTGGGCGGACCCACCTGGAGACGGATAGAGGAGCAGTGTCTTGGTTCCTAAGACCACTGGAAATACATGTTTTCTGATGGTCTTAGGTGACCCCTGTGAAAGGGTCGTGCAACCCCCAAAGGGGTTGCGACCCACAGGTTGAGAACCGCTGATATAGCAGGAATAATGAATAAGCTGTTTACTTCAAAATAACCACTAAAAAACTCATGAATCGCAGCATAATATTGTCAGATAAAGTGCCAGGCGATAAGCCCCACAGGTTGGAAGGCACTGAAAATACAACTGGGGAAGAATTGCCTACTCAAGGAAAAAATCAAATATAAAGACCTGGATAAAGCAAACCTTTCAGGACCTTCAAGATGAGAAGATGGGGCAGAGCTCAATAGGAGAAGATACAGTTACAAACATCCATTAACAATAAAACATGGATACTCACTCACTGACTCACTCACTCACTGCTTCACTTGCTCACTGCCTCACTCGTCTCACTGACTGTCTCACTCACTCACTGACTGTCTCACTCACTCACTGTCTCACTCACTCACTGTCTCACTCACTCACTCACTGCTTCACTTGCTCACCGTCTCTCACTCACTCACTGTCTCACTCTCACTCACTGGCACATTCACTCACTCTCTCACTCACTCATTGACTCACAGCCTCACTTGCTCACTGAAAAAAAAAAAGAAGAAAAAACATGGAATATAGAAGTATGAATCTAGAAAAATTGAAAGTGATCAAAAATTAAAACAAGCCATCAAGTCAAAGCTGAATCATCGCAACCCTACAAGATATAGAACTGCCCCTGTGAGTTTCTGAAACTGTTAACTCTTTAGGAAGGCAGAAAGAAGAAAGCCTTTCTCTAGAGGAAGAGTCCATCATTTCCCATTGGCCTGGCACAGTTGCTACAAGAATGGGCTCAAACACAGTAATAGTTATGAGGATGGCACAGTATTGGGAAGTGAGCCAGAATTAACACGAAGACACCTAAAAAACAACATAATGAGAATGACTCAGCAAAGAGAGATTACTGATAAGGAGATGGGAATGATAAAAAATGAGTCAAAATAAAAGCCTAGAGTTGAAATATAAGGTAACTGAAATAACTATTGAGTAGAGGAGCCTAACAATAGATGTGAGCTGGCATAAGCCAGAAATTAATATGTGCTACAGCTTATTTGTGATGGAAATCTTCATGATAGGGAAAAAAAGAAATGGGCAAAAAAAGGCTTCAAGAAATAATGGTGAAGTTTTCCTAAACCATTGATCAGCAGATTCACGAAAATTGATAACCTAAAGTAAAATAATATCCAAGATATCCACACTGAAACACATTATAGTCAGTAAAAAAAAAATTAAAATAAAAGTGAGAGACTTCCGGGAAGATGGCGACTGAGTAACACATACCAGAGGGACTCTGCAGAATTCAGTGCAGGAGAGTTATTAGGAGGGAAATTCCACACTGCCCAGTTGCAGGAGGAGCATCATAAAGATAAGGGAGGGTATTTATATCTCCACAGGG